CCAACAGCTGACTGACACAAATGTTAACTAGCATGCTAGCATGCAAAAAATCGATAGCCGCATTCGTCACAAGTGGGAAAAATTTAAATCTTCATGGCACTTTATTCCAGTTGGCTCATTCGCTTGCTTAAACTCAACGTTGATTCTGATTCCGCAGAACTGGGTTGGGTGTGAAAAAGTATTTGTTGTTAACATTCTTTTTTCATTCGGTTTTTCCAGTTACGAGTCATTTTTTAAAGCTGATCGTTTTGTGTTCATTTTGTTTAGTTCTTTTTTCGAAACAGATTTAATGTTTAGTATAGAGCTTAGAAAAAATTTGCAGTGTGAGATAGGCAAGAAGTAATGCATGTAGCAACATCACCACGGCAAAGGGCACTCCTTTAAAGGCAAGGAAGGGCAAAAATATTTTAAGTCAAGTGATAGTGATTTCTGTATGAGGTGTACGATTTTTGAATCAAGCACGGGCAACGCCGGGCCATGCTGCTAGTTACGTCTAAATATTGAAAAGAAACCTGTTGTTTTTACTCAAACACTTGAGAAGAATGTTTCAGGATGAAAAGGATACAAAACATTCCGCTAGGAAGACAATAGAGCCTGTGACGAAATACTGTGCTCGATTAGCCGAGCATGTCATCTGATTTAAATCTATTAGAATACTAACTTCAATATGTAAATTTAGTATGGTCACTGACATCAAAAATACAAGCAATAGTAAAAAAAGAAAAGGCAACTGTACCAAATATTGATTTCAATTTCTTCCGTAGGGATGTACTTTTTAGAAGGATGAATTAGTTTAGAGACTTCCAATTTAATGTCGGAATTTTGCTCATAAAATCCATTTCAATTTTACAAATAATAAAATCCTGTTATGTTTGATTTTTTAAGTCCTTCTCTAGATTCAGAAGTGTAAATTTTGATCTGGAAGACCGAGGAGGTTCCGGTAGGCTGCAGTCATTGATGTTAGTGCTATGCGTGAAGGGCATTTGCAGGCGGTGTAATGGTTAACAAGTTTGTCTTGCTAGAACGATGTAGTGAGTTCGATCTCCACTAGGTGCCCCATACTAGGTGCCCATCGGCCTTGTGCCACATCTAAGCTGCGCTTGGAAAATCACTATGCGCTATGCGTGATACACGCTTAGGCGATCATCTTTTGATACATGACTGACGAGGCAGATTTTTTCCCGCATTTCTTACCCATAGCTGGGGAGAAGAAGAGGAATCATACCATTCCCAAGGGTATAGTACGTAAGTGAATGTAATGGATTCGACCGGAATTCGAACTCGGCTCTCCGATATCAAATCCGAGTCGCTATCCATTACTCCACCGTGCCTCCAAATAGAAATATTGACATCGCAGATATACTCCACATATCTCATATGAATATTGTAAACCAACTAGAAAGTATATCGATGTTTGTGTTGGAGAAATCTGAGAGAAAAGGAATGCACTGAAATTGAAGTGAACGTGTATGTGGGGAGGGGACTTTTTTTGTCATATGCGATTACATAGGAGGAGGAAAGAGAATGGGTAAGAATATCATTGTCTATTCATAGGCTTAAGGAGCGTCCCCGAGAGGAGGTAACTCACAAGACTCCCCTCCAGGTAGGGAGAATTTTATTCTGCCCATATGTCCATAAGATTTGTCTCTCGTAGGCTGAAAAGAAAAAGTGTTGAATAGTGTGATTGGGATGTGTGTTTAAACATGTCGTCGAAAATGTTCTTGTCTGAAGTAATGTGTCATCAGGGTGCTGTATAATTTTCTCGTGGGTCAGAATGTAGCACTCTCTGGAAAATGTGTCGGTAGTGTAGAAAAAGAGAGAGATAGAGAGAGTGAAAGAGAGAGATAGAGAGAGAAAGAAAAATAGAGTAAGAGTAAGAGAGAGGGAGGAAGAGAGAGAGAGGAGGAGAGATATCAGCGGTTGGTATTAAAATTTTGTTGTTTGCATGGCTCCATGTTGAATTGATTTTTTGGAAGGCCTTGTTTTTGGTGGGGTTTTTTCTATGCATAAATGATTTTGGTGCAGAAAATTTGAATAGAAGAAACTTTGATTTGTAACTCTGTTGAGCTGATCCTGGTGAAATTGCTACCGAGTGTCGAATGCATGTTTTGTGAGAACTTTTAACCATATCAGGTATTATTGTCGATTTTTCTCGGAGATGCAGCTATCTTTGTGTACTATTAAATTGTACTTGCACATTTCTCAGTTGTTTATGTTAACATCTCTGAAGATTGAAATGTCAATGTGTCAACTTGAAATTATGTCACATCTTTATCTGTTGAGCCTCGGAGAAACAGTTGCTGTTTAATTGATAATGGAGTTGATTTCCGTGGTTTTTAAGTTGTATTTTCTCGTGTGGTCCGCATAAGCTTATTTGTGAATTCTGGTTGGTATTCTTGAAGAAAATGATCAGTTTTTTGCGTGCTTCAAACTTGTAAGTCGTATTTTTCGTTTTGGTGAAGACAATTTTTTGCGATATCTGTCTATATTTCTGAGATAAGGTATTATGTGCACTATTTACATTATTCGGACTATTGTCCTCATCTTTGTCGCCATATTTATTACAACGTTTCGGCCGTTGTACGCTTCGGCCTTCTTCAGTATCTGTCTATATTTCTGAGATGAGGTATTATGTAAACTATTTATATTATTCGGACTATTGTCCCTCCTCTTTGTCGCCATGTTTATCAGAACGTTTCGGCCGTTGTACGCTCCGGCCTTCTTCAGGTGGTGGGAATGTCGAACTGAACCCTTTATTTCGCTCACTGGTGTAGACTTTTCTAGTTCCACGTGCCATGTTTAATGGATGTCAGTTATCAGTTATCTCCTGTTAATTCCCCTCTCCACGTTCACCGGTGCCTTAACTGGGTATTGAACTCACACTCTTTGGGTCCTGTCACTGGATCTAACCAACGCCTTTATCCACTGTGCTATGTGTCCTTGAGGACCTAAAGAGTGTGAGTTCAATACCCGGTTAAGGCAGTGTAGAACTTGGAGAGGGGAATTAACTGGAGATAACTTATAACTGACATCCATTAAACATGGCACGTGGAACTAGAACAGTTTACCCCAGTGAGTGAAATAAAGGGTTCAGTTCGACATTCCAACCACCTGAAGAAGGCCGAAGCGTACAACGGCCGAAACGTTGTAATAAATTTTTTACGATGTCTGGAGGTGGAAGTAGAAGTCAGGTGTAATTGTGCCTAAGAGAAAGAAAGGGTTAAGCAAAGACAGTAGAAATGAAATGAGTGTTGCTCGCCTGGAACCGTAGTAGTAATTATAATGGTTATTAAGCATTTTTGGTTCGTACATGTTGAAAAAATATTTGTTGACTTGGAAAACATCTTGTCTCGATAGTTGCTATGTCTTGTAGAGGTTTGGTTTTAGTGTTTTGAAATTTGCGATTTTACTCTTTACATCGGGTTTAATCCCAAATTTGTAAGAAGTTATTTTTGTTGATTTTTTCATGTCCACGTGCGTGATAAGATAGATAGAGAAGTAGATTAAGATTTTTCTTCACTGGTTCTCATTTTGAAAAGCATCTAAACGATGCATAGTCGACTTTGTTTATATAGTTTTGTGTATTTTTGTATACAGTAGAAAATATCACATATGTAACCATTATGTTGCGGGAATGCTAGTTGTGTTTGTAACGGAATTGAATTTGAGTTGTGTTAATTACAATATTGATATTACAATATTGATATTGTTTTAAAATGTTCTCAGTGTTATTGCCTCTTTTGTGTCTTTAAAAGTTTGGGCTTGCTTGTTTTTACTTGTTCCAAGAATTTCGTGGTTAAGGGTAGCATTTGAAACCGTCAACTGTCGATTTTACGGAGCGTTGGTGTTGTATCTTTTTACTACTGCTGCTACCACTGCTCGTGGTGGAAAGGTTATTTTATAATGATGAAGTTTCAGATTTTTAGAATGATGAAATATTTATTTCCAGGATGATGAAATATCTTTATTATGAATCATCACTAATTGAAAGGTTGTTTTTAGAATGATGAAATTTCACCATCATTCTGGATCATAACATGTTGATGTAGAAAACAAGTGTCTCCGGGTATATTTTTCCGTAACAATTATTGCGGATTCCGAGTAATAAATGAAACATAACACGTTATATAAAACAAACGACAATATATATATATTAACAAAAGTATACAATGAAAACAAAAGAAGAAAACTTTTAAAGACTAATTAGATATAAAACATTTAAAGAGAATGTGTGTTTTTGTGTATGAAGTTTGCATAGAAGTCTGAGAAAAAAGTAACTGAAAGTGAACTTGACCCAGTGGGGGACGCCTTTTTTTTCCACGTGCGGCTACATCTTGTAAGAAGAAGATAAAGAATAAATAAGAATATCATTTTCTATTTATAGGCAAAAGGAGCGTCCCCTATAGACTTTTTTTTAGTAAAGTCAAGTGGGGTAACCCACAAGATCTATTTTTATTATAAATATTTACAGTAGTTTATTTGGTGGCTTGGTCTACTCGTATAACCATTTATAATGATAAACAAGACAGTTTAGCTGGCCATTAATACAAAGTAATGAGTTCGTTCTGCAGTTGGCGCCAAATATTTGTGGCCTTGTGTCAAACTAAAATGATATTAGTGATTAATAAGGACTTACTGGCGTGAGGTAATGATTAACGAGGTAGTTTGTTTGACCATTGATACTGGGTAATGAGTTCGTTCCTCACTCGGTGACCGATATTTGTCAAATTAAACTCGTCTTAGTGATTCATAAGGGCGTGCTGGGGAGAGGTAATGATTAACGAGGTAGTTTGGTCGACCATTAATACTGGGTAGTGAGTTCGTTTTTCAAATGGATCCCCATATTTTTAGCCTTGTGCCAAACTTACTTAATGACAACTTGTTAGTAAATAAATATTTTCTCTGTTCTAATTTCAGAGCAACTCATTGGTCAGCTGTCCCATTACGAGCTGGTCATTCCAACATTGGTTAACCGGAAGGGCGAGTTCCTGAGCTATAAGTTAGAGGCACCGGACGAAGAGGAAGAACGCGCACCGCAGACGACCCACCGAAAGAAGCGCTATGTTTATCACAGAACCGGATCAGCCGATTTCCAGCCCCATAGTGTCTGGCAGGATCGTGTATTTTACAAACTGTCCGCGTACGGCCATGACTTCAAGTTCAATCTCACCTTAAACCGGAAGTTAGTGTCCAGAAATTTTGTGGTTGAATACTGGGATAGCAACGGCGTGAAAAAGCGTCACTACAATATGCATCGTTGCCATTTTATCGGCTATAGCAGTGAACCGTATAAATCAGAAACTGCTTTAAGCAGTTGTCATGGTCTGGTAAGTATATGAACTGAAAATCACTTTTAACTTTTAATTATTCATTTCTTCGATTTTATATCGATTTTTAATCAGATCTGAAAATTTTATTATGTGCCATGCGTGAAACACGTTTAGGCGATCATGTATCTTTCGATACATGGCAGACGAGGCAGATATTTTTCCCACAGAAGGTTGCCATTTCTTTCTGCGGTAGACCAGATGCCATACAAGGCACAGAACTCAGTCTGTCCTGCTATTTACCCATAGCTGTGGTGGGTGGGGGGAGAAGAGGAGGATTCATACCTTTCCCAAGGGTATTAGCACCTAAGTGAATGTAATGGATTTAACTGGAAAGTCAGTCAATCAGTTATGTGCCATGCGTGATAAACGCTTAGGCGATCATGTATCTTTTGATACATGACTGACGAGGTAGATATTTTTCCCGCAGTAGGTGGCCATTTCTATCTGCGGTAAACGAGTTGCCATCCAAGGCTATAGAACCCGGTCTGCTATTTACACATAGCTGGGAGGAGAAGAGGATTCATAACTTTCCCAAGGGTATTAGCACCTAAGTGAATGTAATGGATTTCGATTCCTCAATCTGAACCGTCATCCATTACTCCACCGTGTCTCCATTCCACGCTCTACAGGTACCTTTTACTATTATCCCTATAAAATTTAATTAAGGTAAGAAAAGCATACATAATTAAACCGGACAAAAAGAAAAACACAATTAAATGATTGATTCGTTTTTTTACGGATTATCACCCCCTTGCAGATTACTTAAAGCCAGAAAATATAGATTCTAAGAATCTTTTTTTTGTGAGATAATAATGGTTTCTTACTAATTAACCCATAGCTGGGGGAGAAATAGATTCATACCATTAGAAGAAAATATACCATAATTTTAAATATAAATGATTTAGTCTCTTCTTTATATTAGGTTTTAGAACAATGATGTTAAAATTACTGTGTGATTAATGGGTGACCTAATTAAGACTGGTACTAGAAAGATATTTTATTTAGGTTACTCTATGATGTAACGTATTAGTGGAACGTATTAGTTATTGGTGGAACAACTAAACACTGGCAAATTAACTCCAAAATAACACGCATAAAGTTAAGCATGGACATCCGAAAATTCCCAGAAAAGCTTGCAGCAAAGCAAGAAATCTTTGGAGTCTGTCTATATTTCTGAGATGAGGTATTACGTACATTATTTACATTATTCGGACTATTGTCCTCATCTTTGTCGCCATATTTATTACAACATTTGGGCCTTTCAGTATCTGTCTATATTTCTGAGATGAGGTATTATGTACATTATTTACATTATTCGGACTATTGTTCTCATCTTTGTCGCCATATTTATCACAACGTTTCGGCCGTTGTACGCTCCGGCCTTCTTCAGGAGGTTGGAATGTCAAACTGAACCCTTTATTTCGCTCACCGGGGTAGACTGTTCTAGTTCCACGTGCCACGCGCGTTGGTTAGATCCAGTGACAGGACTCAAAGAGTGTGAGTTCAATACCCGGTTAAGGCAGTGGAGAACTTTCAGAGGGAAATTAAGAGGAGATAACTGATAACTGACATCCATTAAAACATGGCACGTGGAACTAGAACAGTCTACCCCGGTGAGCGAAATAAAGGGTTCAGTTCGACATTCCAGCCACCTGAAGAAGGCCGGAGCGTACAACGGCCGAAACGTTGTGATAAATAAAGCGACAAAGATGAGGACAATAGTCTGAATAATGTAAATAAGAAGTCTTTGATACTGAAATCTTTGGCAAAATATTCATGTTTGAAACGTCACAAATTGTGAGGTAATTATGAGATGAGATTTGTTTCAGTGTTTATTAGAAAGGATCGGCTGGATAATTATGTGTCGTTACATTTGATCTATGACATTTGATCTTAAAGTTTCACAATTGAGAAGAAACTCTCTGTGAACCATTATTTTATGTAAGATGAGCTGGTTGGGTTTTAAGTTAAAATATAAGTTACAGTGTTTTGACAGAGGACTTTAAGTGCGACGCTGAGATCCAAAGACGTATTGGGATGGCCAAAACGCATTTCAAAAGCTAGGCAGAGTATTACTCTTTGGTAACAGACAAAAGAGTACTGAGCTACTACGGGACATCTGTCGCCCTTTATGGCAACGAATGCTAGGCGGTCTCCTTAAAGATGAAGAAGAGACTCGAGGCAACGGAGGTATGCGTCTACAGAAGGATGCTAAGGATATCATGGACCAAGCGTGTAAGCAATGATGCGGTTTTGGAGAGGATGTAAACAAGGACGAGGCGTATACTTAACATCAAGTAGAGGCAACTGAAATTTCTGGGACACGTAATGAGAAAGGAGGGCTTGGAGAATCTGATACTCACAGGTCGAATAGAGGGAAAGAGAGACAAGGGAAGGCAACGCGTGACATACCTGGCGGGCTTAAGCAAGTGTATGACAGAACATGGTCTCGGTGAAGTAGCAAAAGGACAGTATCTACTGAGAGCTACAAGGTATAGGATGGAAGTGGAGGGCCATGTTCGCCTACGTCCTGAAGGGACACGGCGCATGAAAAGAAAAGAAATGCTGACAGGCATTTAATTCAGCTAATTCAAGATTTTTAAAAGTCAAAACAGCTCGGCTACCGTTTGCTTCGGAAAAGTAATTATGAACCGCTTACTAAGTAACTTATTTATTTTTAAAACGAGAGTTGAATTATGTTCTCTTTGGCGGAGTTGTGGTAAAGCTTTTTTTTTTTTTAATTCGAGCATGATATTAATTTTATTATTGTTGTTCTAAAATTTCCTTCAGTTATAAGGTTTTCCTCAGAGCTAATCGGTATCTGCGCCATCAAAACTTGCATAATTTAAAACTGTCTTCGTTTAATTCAGGTTATATTGAATTATAAATACAAATTACTTGGATTAATTGCTGATTGGTTAAGTGTAGACAGCCCGTGAAGGTATAGAAACGCAACATCATGCTAGTTGATATTATTAGGATTTTAGTAACAAGTACGTTTTACGAGGTGCAGTTACCCTCTTGACCGGTTACCAACCAAAGCAGGAGAGTCTAGTCTCTCTTGCTATTTCCTTCATAGTTTTGGTGATAGAAAAAGAGATGAATTGGTACTTTTATTAAGAGCACTCATACAAATTATAAGCAGCTTGAATCCAGCATACCGATTTCATTTTCCAGCCTGATAACTTACGCAACACATATTAAATTGTAGAGGTCGGAGAGTGGAGCGTCTCTTTTCTGGTCTTTCTTTCTTTCTTTCTTTCTTTCTTTCTTTCGTTTTTTTGTTCGCTCTTTACCTTGTTTGTATCGTTCCTTCTTTCTTTCCTTGTATTTCTTTCGTTCTTTCCTTTTTCTTTCTTTCTTTCTTTCTTTCTTTCTCTTTTTCATTCTTTTATTTATTTGTTTCTTTATTTCGTTAGTTCGTTCTATCATTCTTTCGTGATTTCGTTCTTCCTTTTTACCGTTCGTTCGTTCGTTCCTTTTTCATTCTTTCTATTGTTCTTTCGTTCGCACTCTAGCTCATTTTTTCTCTTTCTTTCTTTCTTTCTTTCTTTCTTTCTTTCTTTCTTTCTTTCTTTCTTTTATTCGTTCGTTCTTTCATTTTTTCTTTCTTTCTGTCGGTCGTTCTTTCGTTCTATTTTTCGTTCGTTCGTTCGTTCGTTCTTTCCTTCCTTTTTTTATTCCTTTTGTCGTTATTTCGTTCACTGGTTAGGTCGTTTCTTTAATTCTTTTTCTTTCGTTCTGTCTTTCTTTCTCTTTTTTCATTCCTTCATTTTTTCCTTTCGTTTCTTTCTTTCTTTCTTTCTTTCTTTCTTTGGTTCTTTTATTCTTTCTCTCTTTCTGTCGTTCGTTCGTTTATTTGTTCTTTAGTTCCTTGTTCATTCTTTCGTTCGCTGTTTAGCTTGTACTTTCTTTCATTATTTCTTTCGTCCGTTTTTCATTCATTCTTTCGTTCTTTCTTTTATTCTTTCTTTCATTTGTTCTTTTTTCATCTGTTTTTTTTCTTTCGTTTGTTCTTTCTTTGGTATATAATCATCACCGAATAGTAGTATATAAAAATACAACTCCATTTTTTCTTTTTCTTTACTCTTGACTTAAAACCCACAGAATTAATAGAAAGGAATGTCGATCAATGATAATCTTTCTGTAAATTTATGAAACATTGAAAATACATGACAAATTCAAAGTCATTTCGCAATAAATACATTTCCAGAATCATACCAACGCTATGAAAATTTGACTGGAGTGTACGGCATAGCTTCCTCTTCCCCTCACTACTATAAAGATTTTTTAGAAGCTTCAATACAAAATGATATTTTTGGTGTAATTACCCCAACATTAGGAATCGCTCTAAGGGCTTCAGATACATTACAAGTGAATGAGAGTTATTGCGCCGGGAAAGAGTTACAGACTAATTCTGATGAACGTTTCTCTATTCATAGAAATTAAAATGAGACACTTAAGATATAAAATTCTAGAGCCTCCTCCCTACTCACTTGACTCATGTTCTACAGCCAGAAATACGAGAGGTAGTGTATACTTGAAGTACAGTTATCGCGCCATTTTATATAACATTCACGCATCACGACAGTCAATGGTTTTGAGATTTTCATTTTATGATGAAGATGCATAAAATCTTGACTTAGATTCCAAAAGGCCTCTAGTTTTCCACTTCATACTAACTGACTTCGGTTAGTTGATTGGTTCATTACTAAAGGAAGTTTTCAGCATACCAAGACTATTTTTAAAAATAAGGGTAACTGATACAAGTTAAGAATCATTTATCCGAAATTCTTGGGACTAGAAGTGTTTCGGCTTTCAGATTTTTCGGATTTGCGAATATAGATTATTTAATTTGTATATCATAATGATGATGATGATAATCATCCCCTTGACTTTTGTAATCGTTAGTAGCGGATCCGAATGCAGAAGCCATATTGAACCTCCTCCACAACAGTCTATCAACGGCGGCCATGAGCAATTTTGGTACAGTCATA